TGTCACCATCCCTGCCCCATCTGGAAACTGAGAACAAGACATCGCATCAGAAAGTGAACACTCAAGCTCAGCCGGCGTGGCTCAGTGGTTGATCATCGACCTATGAACCAGGAGGTCCCGGTTCGATTCCCGGTCAGGGCACATGCCTGGGTTGTGGGCTCATGCAGAAGACAGCTGATCAATTATTCTCTCTCATTGATGTTTCTATCTCTCTCTTCCTCTTTGCAATCAATAAAAAAAATATGTTTAAAAAAGAAAGTGAACACAGAAGAGCACATGCACAGGACAGGGCATAACTCAGGCTCCAGGGTGATGTTGACCCCTGAACTCATCCGAGGTCCATGGTGAATGTCCCCCCAAATCAGTGCATTACCACCTCAGGCTGCCATAACCCAGATGTACCTATAAAAGAAATTTCATGCCACCAAGGCACACATGCAAATCTTAGAGCTGCTTTAGTCTTTGGTCAACCTTATATGTAGGCTTGAGGGTTAAGAGAGGCCCCCAGAGGGAGAAATGGGGACCAGCGCTGTCCCTGAGGGGTGAGAGGCACCAAAGGGGAGTGAAAGGTTTGAGGCAATTCTTTCTTGCGATGGAGATCCACTGGAACCCAATCTGGTTCTCCACGCTTAGAAACCCATGCGGTCCAACTGCCGAGACCAACTTGACAAAGGAGTCATTCCAAGTATCCAGGTGGCTCTGGGTACGTGAATGCGTGTGATGTTCCATGAAAATGCACCCCTGGTGCCTACAACTGTGGGGAACGTATGTGACTGGCCGCCTGAAGTCACCGCTGCACTCACGCCACGGCCGATGTCTGAGGGCAGTCGGTCTCCTCGGATGAAACTTAGGCTCCACACTCCCCATCAGCTTCACCAAAGCGTTCTTAGCACTGCACTGTGGTCTAGGATGGCTTTACCCAACCTATTTCCTCCCTTCTCTTCGCCACAGGGGTCAGACTGCCCAGGGGTCTACAGCGCTCCCGGCTGGTCCTTCTCCCTCCTCCTCATAGGAGTCTTCCCTAGTAAGTCCTTGTATGTCTCATCCTGTCTTAGCATCTATTTCTTGGAAGACCTGAGCAAACACACAGTAGGTAGAGGGCGCCATTTGCAAATCCACCTCAGAAGGTTGGGCAGGTCTCGTTGGATGCGTGGAGTCTTATGTGCTTCACTGGACTCTGGAAGAAGCTGTGATTAAGGTACCCAGGGTCCCAAGAATATGGTTCTCCAACAAGACAAACCCCACCCACCACTGCCCTCCCCAGAGGGTTGTACCATTGACACCCCCCTAGCAGTTCTTGAGCGTGCTCAGTTCCCTCATCCTTGCCAATACTGAGTGTTATCCATGCGGGGCATTGTTACTGGTCTGCCAGGCCGGAAGTTGTATTTCATTGTTCCTGTTGGAATTTCTTAAACCATGAGGGAGATTGAACTTTTTTAGTTTGAAGTTCACATAACATAAAATTAACCAGCAAAGTTAACGATTCAGTGGCATGTAAGGCATTCATAGTGTTGTGCAACCACCATCTCTATCTAGGTCTAGAGCACTTTCATCACCCTCTGAGGAGACCCCATCCTCATTAAACAGTCACTCCTACTCCCCTTCCCTCCAGCCCCTGGCAACCACTAATCTACTTTCTCTCTATGGATCTGCCTGTTCCAGACATTTCATATACATGGAATTATATAATATGTACCCTTTATACCAGCTTTTTCCACTTACCATGATATTTTTGAGGTTCGTCCACATGGTAGCATATGTCAGCACATGAAAAGATACTAAAAATCATTAGACGTTCACTTACGTTACTAATTAACCTATAAATTTTCTTTATTTTTTAGTAGTTTTGTAGTGTTTTCTTTCTTAACCTGAATGGTAATTACAATGTGTTGCTTCGTTATTCTTCTTAAAAACATATACAAATGTTTTATATGCTCTTGTGGATGTATATCTCACAATAAAAAGATAACACAAGAATATGGCACTACATCAATACATTTATAAACTTAAGCAAAATATATTCTTAGAAAAAATATAAATGACCATAACTGTCTCAGGAAAATATAGAGAATCTAAATAAACCTGTAATTTGTGTCATATGTTTTTTAAAAAGGAGGGTGGAGGGCCTGGATGATATGATGGTTGGTGATAGTGTGCCACTGACAGAGGCATCTGGTTGATTTTCTAATTCTAAGTATGTGAGTTCATGGTGACGATCACAGGGGTTTCCAGGGAAACAAGCTACATCTGCAGCAGCACTTCTCCTTGGCGTTTCTAAAGCTGCATCAGCTCCTTCCTCCACGGCAGCAGGGGAAGCCCAGAGGCCTCTCCACAACCAATGAGTTAGCTGGTCAGTCCTATAGTTTCTCCTTAAAGAGAAAAAACAACAACAATGCTCAGCTTCATTAGTAAAATGCAAATTAAAATCACAATGAGATACCACTTCACACCCATTAGCATGACGATAATTTAAAAAAAAAACGCAAGCAGAAAACAGTAAGTGTTGGCAGGTGTGTGAGAAATCGGAACCATCATCCACTGCTGGTAAGAATGTAAAATGGTGCAGCCACGATGAAAACCAGTTTGGCAGTTACTCAAAAGTAAAATATAGAATTGCTATGTGACCCAGCAATTGTACTCCTGGATATATACCCAAAGGAATTGAAAATAGGTCCTCAAACAAACCTTGTATGCAAGCGTTTACAGCAGCACTACTTGTAACAGCCAGAAGGCGAAAACAACGCAAATGTCCATCAACGAAAGACAGGACAAACAAAAGGTGGTATTATGTGGTAATGGAATATTTTTAAAATATATTTTTATTGATTTCAGAGAGGATAGGAGAGAGCGAGCGAGAGAGAAAAATCAATGATGAGAGAGAATCATTGATTGGCTGCCTCCTGCACGCCCCACACTGGGGATCAAGCCTGCAACATGGGTATGTAATTCTGGCTGGGAATTGAACCTTGACCTCCTGGTTCACAGGTCAATGCTCAATCACTGAGCCATGCCAGCCAGGCTGGTACTGTAATATTATTCAGCAATTTAAAAACTGAATTATTGATACATGCTACAATATGGGTGAATCTGAAAACATTATATTGAGTGAAAGAACCCAGATCCCAAAGTCTGTATACTTCCATCTATATTACATTTCCATAATAGACAAATCTATGGAGATAGAAAGAAGATTCGTGATCCCCTGGATCTGGAGGAAAAGTGGAAAATGGCGGGGGGGAGGTTAGGGTTGCTGCTAAAATATACAGGGTTTCTTTTTGGTGAAAATATTCTGAAATTGATTATGGAAGTAGTTGCACAGTTCTGTGAATGTACTAGAAACCTTTGGATTGTATACACACAATGCGATATTATTCAATCATACTAAATTAAATATCTTTTTATGTGTATACACAGGGCCATTTACGTTCATGAGTTGTGCCCTGCAGTCAGACTACCCAAATCCAGCCCTAAGTCTGCCACTTCAAGCGCCGTGACGATGGGCAAGCGAGATTCTCCGTTTCCTTCCTCACTGGGCTTTGGTGAGAGTTATAGGACACTGCATGCTCATCACAGCTCCAACCACGTAACAGATACTATAACCATTATTAGTCATAAAATATTTTAAAAACTTCTTCATAGGAAAAATTGGGTGCGTTCTATCCTCTGTCAACCAAGGGAGACAGGTCTGAGGAAAGACAACGCTCTTGAGAGGAAATTCTTTCCCACAGCGGGGCCTGGGCTCAAAGGCCCCACGAGGGAAGGTGAGGTAACTGTATTCATCCTGACAAGGTTCTCTGGCATCACCTCCAGGGGCCAGAGTCTGGTATAAACCTGAGGTAGGGGTTCTGTGTGCTCCCAGAGAAGGCATATTCCTCCTCCACAGCCACAAGACACACTCGAGGCGGCAGCAGTCCCAACCCCCTGGACCACACCACCTGAGGGCTGAGAAGTCCTGGGATCTGATGGAGGTACAGAGGTCATTGGTCAAGTAAGTGTGTCAGGTAGAGGAGTTGCAGGGGTGGGGCCTTCCTGCCCTGGAACTTCCCCTCAGAGGTGGGGGTGCTCTCTGCTCGGTTTCACCCACAAGGACTTCAGGTGCTCTGCACAAGCCTCAGGAGTGGGGGGCGTTATGGGGAACGGGTCGAGAGTGGACACCAGAACCAGAGCCTGGCTGGATCCTAGTTCCAAGCAGGAGTGATGTTGGGCTGTCTCATGGGGCTGCGGAGGGCTCAGTGGAACGCTGTGGGTCAAGTGGGAGCTCAAAGGTGGATTCATCACATAGAGGTAATTGTCCTGTTCAGTTTGTGCGGGTGATGCAGAGGGGAGAGTTCACAGAGCTTTCGCCTAGACTAGGGGTCCTCCGGGGGAGAGATTTTGACGTCTCCCCAGGGGGCCTCAAGATCTTTTTGCAGCCAGAGTGGGAGGGGGGCTACTGGCATCCAGTGGGTCAAGGCCAGGGGTCAACCTCCTACAATAACACACGGGGCAATCCCCACCACAAGAAATGATCCGGCCCGGAATGTCAGTAGGTCCCGGCTGAGACCCGCTCGCTCCCCTCAGTAGAGGGGACCCGGAAAGCATCCTGCAGAGGTGAAGGCATGTGGGTGAGGGGAAGCCGCAGGTGCACAGGCTCTGAGGCAGGAGGTGGGACTGCAGGTGTGGGAGGGAGCGGAGCAGTGGTGACCTGGATGGTGAAGCCGGGGAAGACGCCGTCTACCCCTGCAGTCACGTTGGCTGCAGAATGGAAAGCACTGAGGGGGCGAGAGTGGCCATGCAGGGACCACTCCATGGTGGGTCATCCAGGTGGGAGACGATGCTGGCTCACTCTGTGAATAACTGTTCTGCGTCTGTCCTAGAGATGAAGATGCTGTTGTAAATCTACAAATTAGGCATCGATGGAAGGTGAGAGGTGAGAGAGGAGTTGGTTGAGCTGACTAGGGTTGTGCAGGCTGTGCAACCCCAGGGCCAAGCCCAGCAGCCCTGGTCGGGGAGAGCCCATCATGGACCTGGTGAGACTGGAGTGCTTGGGGAAGGAGGTGTCTGGGGGCGATGCCCAGGAAACAGGATAATCAAGTAGGAGTTTGGAGAGAAGTGGCTGCTGGAACCAGAAATTCAGTCATTGAATGAAACGTGCAAGGGAGTGTGGAGGATGACAGAGTCCTCTCATCAAGACACCTGCCACCTGTATCATAACTATTCTCACGCCTCAGAGGTGCCTTGAGCCTAGCATGGCGGCCAGTGTATGGGTTGCAGGGTGAACAGCACTCCTGGGGTCTGAGCACAGGACTCCAGAGACACAAAGGCCAGACCTGTGTCTCGCAGAGAAATGCATGCACTCCTCTCCTCAGCCCTCGGTGGAAGAGGACGGCCACTGCAAAGCTTTGGAGAGTCTATTCTTTTTCACTCATGTTTGCGGCTGCTCCCTGGAGAGATTTCTAGCTCTCCACCCCCCGGACACCAGGCCTGGCCATTGAAATGTGAGTAAAGGTGAGCGGGGTGGGGGAGTGTTTCCTGGCAGAAGCTCTTAGGAGTCAGCATACAATGCACTTTTCCCACTGCTGCAGTGACTGGCAGTGTCCCAGACAAAGGTTTGTCCACCAGTCTGAGTCCGGGAGAGAATTCATCACAGAGCACTACCATAGCGCCCTGTGATGGACGTGGAGCCTGAGTGAGAAATCAGCCTTCGTTGCTGTCAGCCGGTGAGGTTGGGGCCTGTATGTTACTGCAGCGTGATTTAGTCTAAACTGACTAATTCAGAGCCGATGGGCTGTCCAGTGGAGGCCAGAATAAGGTTCATGCAAGTCTCACCTGGCACATGGGGCCCACATTTGTGGACAAAGATCATCTGTCTCTAAGGTTGATGTAAAAAACATAGGATGAGCAAGATTAGCTCCCTTTGGAAATAACTTACTCCAAGACATAATGAATCAGTACATGCTCTCACAGCCCACCGAGGAGAGAGACATCGTTGGTGTAAAAGATACACCATTGTAACATTTAAGATTAGTGCCTTCAACCCGGCCAGTTTCGCTCAGTGGTTGTTGACCTATGAATCATGGTTGGGTTCCCAGGCAGGGCACATGCCAGGTTGCAGGCTGGATCCCCAGTGGGGTGCGTGCAGGAGGCAGTCAATCAATGATTCTCTCTCATCATTGATGTTTCTATCTCTCTCTCCATCTCTGAACTCAATTAAAAAATATATTTTTAAAGAGAGCATCCTTTTAAAGATCTCCACACTCATTATCTCATTTAATTCGCTCAGGAAACTGAGTCTTTGGGCTTTTCTGTCACTGGCTCACACAGCTAATGTGTCAGGAATGGCATTCAAACGGGATTCATCTGGACCCCAGAGACTTTACTCTCAAACACTAAGACTTCTTTTAATTGAGGCAAAATTGATGTACAACGTTATATTAGTTTCAGGTGTGCAACATAATAATTTTATATTTTTGTATATTGAGAAATGATCACAATAGGTGTAGTTAACATCCATCACCACAAAAGTTCTTGTGATGAGAACTTTAAAAATCTACTCTCTTCAAAAACTAAAACCATTTCCCCTGAGAACAGGAACAAGACAGGGATGTCCGCTTTCACCACTCTTATTCGACATAGTACGGGAAGTCCTAGCCACAGCGATCAGACAAGAAGAAGAAATAAAAGGCACCCAAATTGGAAAGGAGGAAGTAAAACTCTCTATATTCCCAGATGACATGATATTGTATATAGAAAACCCTAAAGACTCCACCAAAAAACTGCTAGATGTAATAAAAGAATTTGGCAAGGTAGCAGGATACAAAAAAATCCACTCTTTGAGCAACTTTCAAATATACAACCCAGTATTGTTAACTATGGTCACTATGATGTACAGGCCCAGGACTTATTTCCTTTAATCTGAAATCTGCACCTTTTAGCTCCCTTCATCCATTTTGGGTCTCCTCCACCCCAGTCCCTGGCAATCACCAGTCTGTTCTAAGAGATCTTAACTCTCAGAAAAATTCATAAGGTTCAACATGTTACATATAAAATCATTACATCTTCACAACAACTCCTTGGGGCAGATATATTATTATCCTAATTTTACAGATGGGAAGACTAAGGCACAGAGAGGTTAATTAACTTGCCTAATGTCACACAGCTAGTAAGTGGCTGAGCTGGGATTTTAAACCCTGGCTGTCTGGCTTTGTAGTTGATACTCTTATCACTCTATTACTCATTTTTATTTTAAAAGACAAACTCTAGAAATATTTATGCTGTTTATTTTGTGTTTATTTCTTTTTCTCCATCTTTATTGAGTGATATATTGACTGATAAAAACCACATATGCCTAGGTGCCTACCTTGATGTGTTGATACACTGTAAAATCATTGCCATAGTCAAGCTAATGAACATGTCACTGTTTTGATAGCGTCACTGAGAGTTTCCACTATGAAAAATAATTATCCATATAACAAGTCAGATATGAATGTAAGCCCCTTGGGCTTATTTCTCTTATAACAATCCTAAAAGGTAAGAATTATTAATCCCGCCCTGGCTGGTTTGGCTCAGTGGATAGAGTGTTGGCCTGTGGGCTGAATGGTCCTGGGTTTGATTCCGGTCAAGGGCACATGCCTGGGTTTCGGGTTCGATCCCCAGGAGGGGTCGTGCAGGAGACCCCTGATCAATGATTCCCTCTCATCATTGATGTTTGTATCTCTCTCTCCCCTCTCCCTTCCTCTCTGAAATCAATAAAAAATCTATATTAAAGGAGAATTATTAATCCCATGTGACAAATGGGGGAACTGAGGCCCAAAGAAGCTGAGATGCACCTGGAAAGATGAGTGGGAGGCAGCAATGAGGGGACTGGCTTCCTCCCCAGGAGCCCACCCACCGCTGATGCCCTTGCTTCTGCTTGTAGAACTGCCTGGACATGGCCAACCAGACCCAGGTCTCCGAGTTCATCCTCCTCGGCCTTTCTGAGCAGCCCCGGCAGCAGCAGGCGCTCTTGGGGCTCGTCTGCAGCCTGTATCTGATTGGGTGCCTGGGGAACCTGCTCACCATCCTGGCCATCGTCTCAGACCCTCGCCTGCACAGCCCCATGTACTTCTTCCTCAGCAACTTATCTCTCCTTGACGTCTGCTTCACCTCCACCACCATCCCCAAGATGCTGCTGAACCACCTGTGCGGGCTCACCACCATCTCCTCCTCCGCTTGCCTGGTCCAGATGTATTTCTTCATCACCTTTGGGGCAGCCGACAGCATCCTTCTCTCGGCCATGGCTTATGACCGCTACCTGGCCATCTGCCGCCCGCTGCACTACATGACGATCATGAGCATGCTTCGGTGTGCCTCGCTGGTGGCGGTAACCTGGGTTGTGGCCAGCTTCATCTCCTTGGTCCACACTATTCTGATGACCCGGTTGTCCTTTCACGCCAGTAGGATCCCACACTTCTTCTGCGACATCAACGCCTTAATCAAGCTCTCCTGCTCTGACACGCAAGTCAACGAGATGCTGATGTTGGTGCTTGGGGGTTCAGGGGTTCTGGTCCCTTTTGTGTGCATCATGGCCTCTTACACACTCATCGCTGTGGCTGTGTGGAAGGTGCCCTCGGCCCGGGGGAAGTGGAAAGCGTTCTCCACCTGTGGCTCTCACCTTTGTGTCGTCTCTCTCTTCTACGGGACTATCATTGGGGTCTACTTCAACCCTGCATCCACACACACCACCTACAGGGACATGGCAGCCACAGTGATGTACACCATGGTGACCCCCATGCTGAACCCTTTCATCTACAGCCTGCGGAACCGGGATCTGAGGAGCGCCCTCAGGAGGCTTCTCAGCCAGAACCACTTTGCTAAGGCTCTTTGAACGCTTGTTATACCCACTTGCTTTGCAAATAGCCTAATGCTTCCCAATGTTAGAACTCAGGGTGACATTTCTTTTTTTCCCTTTTCTGAAGGTGGAAATTAAGTTATTATTCATGTAAGTTCTTTATTTTTAAATATATTTTGAATATATTTGACACATAACATTGTGTAAGTTTAAGGTGTACAATGTGTGTTAATTTGAGACATATATTATAATATGATTGCTGTTGTAGCAATATTTTGTACTTGTCACATTACATAATTATCCTCTCTTTTTAGTGGTTGAGATCATTAAGATTTATTCTCTTAGCTAGTTTGATGATTGTAGTACAATATTGTTGTCTGTATTCATTATACTGTGCATTAAATCTCTATGGCTTATTTACCACTCGTTGAAAGTTTGTATCCTTAAACATCAATCTTGTCTTCCCAACCCCCATCTCCTAGTAACCACCATTCTCTGTTTTTCCACAAGTTTGATTTTTTTAGAGCACACATATAAGTGGTATCATACACTGCTTGTCTTCCTCTGACTTATCTCACTTAGCATAATGTGCTCAAGGTCCATCCATGTTATTGCAAGTGGCAGGATATCCTCCTTTTTCATGGCTAAATAATATCATATATAGAATATCATATATAGAATATCATATATATATGAATATATATATATGATATAGTCAAGTTAATGAACATGTCACATTCCTTTAGAAAATGAGAAGGGGGCGCTGGGCTCAGAGCTTTCAGCAGGCTGGCATCTAAACAACCTTCTCTCCTCTCTTCTTACTCTACTGTAACGGTTGGGGTTCAGGTGGGAAAATGAAACACATGGTCTGGCTGGCACACTTACCAAGTGGTTTTGGTTTTCTATTGATGGCAGTGATCTATTCACTTATAATGAAAAACTTGATGGGTTTAAAGACATTCAGATGAAAGGAAGTTACTGAGTAAATGATGGCGTTGCTGGTACTCGGTTGTAGCCTAAGGACTGGGGAGACTGGGTCCAAGAGATTGCCCGTGCTGAGGCAAGCGCTAAGAAGGCTGGAATTTCATGATGGTTTGGGGGCACTGGCTTGAAATTCTGAGGGACTTGGGTTCAAATTCTTCCTGTGTCTGCCCATAGGCTGTCTCTTATCTCTCCTCACTTTCTCTGAGTGGAAGTTTTCTTCTTCACAAAGTGGGGGCCATGGAATCTTTCCTTCTACCCTGTTGTTGCAAGTCAGTTAATTTCACGTCTCAGTGACATTGTTCTCTCAGTGGAGCTGGTAATGGTATCCATCTCCCCATCGACCGTGAGAATGACACCAAATGCAATGTAAACCACTTAGCAAAGACTCAGTGCATAGTAAGCACTAGATAAATCAGACTTCTGTGGCTCATAAAAGACAGACACCACAAGCTCAAGAAACTAAAGATCTATTTTAAATGAAATATGCTTGATCGCCCTTAACTGTCTTTCGTTTTCCAATGAGTAAGCAACGTTTTTGTTGAGCTGATTTTTAAATGTTTTCAACTCTTTTTTTAAAAAATGGAACCACAAGGCACTGAGAGAAGCCCCCAGAATTTGAGGTTTTTGTCAATTCATGAGAAGCAGCAGGATTTGGGGCAGAAGAAAACGCCAGCATTGAAAACACAAAGATCGTGTGGTGCTTCTGAGGATAAATGCCTGCCTTTGTGCCAAGTAGAGATATGCCATTTATTTTAAAGAGAGGGCTTAGAGAAAACGTAACAAAGAAAGCCCAGACTCATTGAAGGTAATCATTGGTACAGGAAACTACCTATTTTGACTTTTGAGGTCACACTTTCAACAAATTCAACTTCATCTGCTGGTATTTTGTTTTTATCATCTTACTGGACTTTGGAAAACAGTTTGCCAGAACTGAACTTCAGTGACGAAATACCGTCCCGCTTATCTCCTAGATCAGTGCTGGCGAACCTTTTGAGCTCGGCGTGTCAGCATTTTGAAAAACCCTAACTTAACTCTGGTGCTGTGTCACATATAGAAATTTTTTGATCTTTGCAACCATAGTAAAACAAAGACTTATATTTTTGATATTTATTTTATATATTTAAATGCCGTTTAACAAAGAAAAATCAACCAAAAAAAATGAGTTCGCGTGTCACCTCTGACACGCGTGTCATAGGTTTGCCATCACTGTTCTAGATCTTTCCAGGGTAGTGGTTTTCCTCCTCTCTATTCCCAAGTCTCGCTCACACCTATTCTATATAATAAAAGCCTAATATGCTAAGTGTCCGACTGTTCGTTTGACCGTTTGACCAGTCGCTATGACGTGCACTGACCACTGGGGGCAGGCTCAATGATCAGTAGGTTTGCTTGCTGCTGGGGTCCAGACAATCGGGACTGGGCAAAAGGGGCTGAACATGCTCTGGAGCCCTCCCGCAGTTCCTCCCCGGCCCCGATCGTGCACAGGTGGGGTCCCTCCGCCTAGCCTGCAGGGATCAGGCTGAAATCAGCTCTTCGACATCCCCTGAGGGGTCTCGAATTGTAAGAGGGCGCAGGCCAGGCCGAGGGACCCCACCAGTGCACGAATCCAGACCTCTAGTGTATAAATAAACTTATTATATTAAATAAGGTAACATTTCAAGTCAGTGGCCTATTTATTAAATCATACTGAAACAATTAGTCATTAAGAATGAGTTTACCACTACAAATCTATTAGAATGGCTGAAATCCAGAACACTGACAACACCAAATGCTGGTGAGGATGTGGAGCAACAGGAACTTTGATTCGTTGCTGGTGGGGGTGCAAAATGGTACAGCTACATTGGAAGACCGTCTGGTGGTGCCTTAAAAAAACAAAAATAATGTCATCATATGATCCAGCAACCGTGGTCCTTGGTATTTATCCAAAGTAGTTAAAAACATAGGTTCACACAAAAACCTAAACATGGATGTTTATAGCAGCTTTATTCATAATTATTAAAACTTGAAGCAACCAAAATGTCCTTCGGTGTGAATGGATAAAGTGTAGTACATCTACATGATGGAATTTATCCGGTGCTAAAAAGAAATGAGCTGTCAAGCCATGAAAAGACATTGAGGAACCTTAATTGCATATTAATAAGTGAAAGAAGACCATCTGAAAAGGCTACCTACCATATGATTTTAACTATATGGCAATCTAGAAAAGGCGAACTATGGAGACAATAAAAAGATCAATGGTTGCCAGGGGTTAGGGGGGAGGGAGGATTTTTAGGGCAGCGAAAATACTCTATAAAACTATAATGATAGACACATCTCATTATATATTTGTCAAAACCCATTGAATGCACAACACCAAGAGTGACTCATAGTGTGAACTATGGACTTTGGGTGATGATGATGTGTCAATGTAGGTTCAACTGTAACAAATGTATCACTGGGGGGCGCGTGGTGAGAATGGGAGAGACTGTGCATATGGTGGTGGTGGGGGAGGGGGAGGTATAAATTTCTGCACTTTGCTCTCAATTTTGCTATGAACCTAAAACCACTCTAAAAAAAATTCTTTAAGAAAGTTAAAACTCAACCTGAAATGCCTGCACAATATTTTTTGGTAGGTTAAAGTTTAAGAGCTTTGGCCTCTGTGAGGACATTTGGTGATGTCTGGACACATTTTCTTCATGGCTGGGGTGGGGAGGCTACTGCCATGTAGTGGGTGGAGACCACAGATGCTGTTAAATTTCCTGCAATGTACAGACCGGCACCCACCACAGAGATAATCCAGCCCCAGGCTGAGAAAGTTATGAACTAACTGAGGGAAAACCAAGTTATAAAGAAGTATGTAGAGGACAATCATACCTGTGTTGAAACACACCGTATGGAAACATAAAATTAAACATAAAATTACCATATGAACCAGCAATTCCACTCCAAAGGACTGAAAAGAGCCCTGGCCCGTGTGGCTCAGTTGGTTGGAGCATCGGCCCGTACCCCAAAAGGTTGTGGGTTTGATCCTCAGTTGGGGCATATATGGGAGGCAACTGATGAATGTTTCTCTCACATTGATGTTTCTCTCTCCTCTCTCTCTCTGTTTGTGGGTTTGATCCTCAGTTGGGGCATGTATGGGAGGCAACTGATGAATGTTTCTCTCACATCGATGTTTCTCTCTCTCTCTCTCTCTCCCTTCCTCTCTTTAAAATCAATTTTCAAACATTGAAAAGAATTCAAACAATCCTTGTACACAAATATTCACAGCAATACTATTAACAATAACCGAAAGGTGGAAACAACCATGGTGAGTGGATAAACAAAATGTGGTCCTTCTACACAATGGAATATCACTCAGCCATAAAAGGAGGGAAGCACAGACACATGCTACGAGATGGATGAATCTCAAACACATGCTGCTGAGTGAAAGAAGCCAGACGCCAAAGACCCATATTGTATGATTCTGCTTATGTGAAAAGTTCAGAACAGAACTTGCAAGTCCATAGATCAGTGGTTGCCAGGGGCTGTGGGTGGGGGATGGTGAGTGACTGCTAATGGGGACAGGGTCTCCTTTTGGGGTGATGGAAATGTTCTGGAACCAGATAGAGGTGATGGTTGCACAACACTGTGAATGTGCTAAATGCCACTGAAGTGTTCATTTTATGGTACATGAATTTTACCTCAAAAACAAAGCAAAAGTACAACAAAACTCCACACCAGCACTCATTGTAGGGGTTTGTGTCTGTTCATACGCCACATACAGACAAGTCTGGAAGGGTGCCCATCAGATTTATTAGCAGCATCGCATGGCTGGTCATTGCAAAACTTTTAGCCTTACTGGTGGTGTTTCAATTACTTAATAAGAAGAAACAAATATTTGTGTGTTGTTGATTTTTAAAATATTTAAAAAGACATTTAATTGTGCAAATGACCTGGATGGGGACGGATGAAGGTAGAGGGCCAGGCCAGGCAACCTCCTCGGCCCCCTGGGCAATGGCAGGGCTGCTCTCCTGCCAAAGTCGGCAGCCAGGGCCCCAAATCCCAAAATTGCTTAGCACTGGGCTCTGCTCAGC